AGAGACTGGAGTCTGAAGACTCTTCACGTACACCCTCCTAATGCGGGATGGATCGACCTAACATTATCCTTTGGAAGCACGGCACTAGGGCGACCCGGGATATGAGAACTATAGCAATATCAATTTTAACGGAAATTCGAGATTTTCTTATTGCCATTTTACCTGTTGTATTTCTTTTCTTTTCCGCAACTTCCTCATTTAGGAGTTGTTTCTATGTATAAATGCCCATTGATGGGCCGAACTCATTAATAAAAATTTGCCCTTCCATTAAAAATCTTTGTTATGTTCTTTTACTTTATTTTTCTTATGCAAATTATGATTTAAATTCTTTGTTAAGCATTGCATTGGAAACAATAAATCAATAATAATCACGAGCTAAGATGTGAAACACTACATTACATGGATATGAAGGCATCCCAAGGTAATGTTGTGGCATTCAAGTGTTCGTTCTTTTGTGCAGGTAGCAAGTCATAACGGTCACCTTGACCAAGATTTCATCCTCGTCGCCTCATTACAATCGACCGAGCACCCGATTCTCCCACACGGAGAGACTTGGGGCATTGGTTGATATCCACGTCTCTTTTTCAGTTATTCACAAAGTCCAACACATGAAGGAAGTCAGATCAAGTCTTTTCTCCTCAGCAAGATTTAATTCCCCAGTGAGCTCGATAAGGATATAATTCATTTCTCTCAAATTCAAGGACCAGTCCATATTGGTACCTCAAGATGACGGACAACAGATCCTAATGAGTTTTTGACATTTTGCATACAATAATCATCACGACATACTTCATTGCATCCTCAAACGCACAACATATCCATGGATCATCATGTCACACTTCAAATGCATATGAAGCATGAGCCAGATCAATCCCAAATCAACAAGACATCCTCACAAAAATTTTCATCCTCATAATTCCCAGTTAACATCTGTTATTACACTACCAACTAAAATAAACCAGGGTGTTATTACGTCATGCTCCCCAACTCTCAATACTCACTTTATCTCTCTTAGGGTTGTAGGTCGTCCCTAGACTTTACCCTCTCATCCTCGTATTCTTGAGGTCGTAGATCGTCCGTAGATCTTACCGTCGCTTTATCTTTCTAAGGTCGTAGGTCGCCCATAGATCTTAACTTCACTTTATCTTTCTAGGGTCATAGGTCATCCGTAGACTTTACCCTCTCGTCATCTTTTTTTAAAGTCGTAGATCATTCGTAGATCTTACCGTCGAGTTATCTTTTAAGGTCGTAGATCGTCCGTAGATCTTACCATAGTGGTGTCTTTTTAGGGTCATAGATCGTCCAAAGATATTACTTTCACTTTATCTTTCCTAGGGTCGTAGGTCGACCATAGACTTTACCCTCTCATCATCTTAAGGTCGTAGATCGTCTGTAGATCTTACCGTCGCGTCATCCTTCTAAGGTCGTAGGTCGCCCATAGATCTTACCTTCACTTTATCTCTCTTAAGCTCGTAGATCGTCCGTAGATCTTACCATAGTGGTGTCTTTTAGGGTCGTAGATCTTCCGAAGATCTTACCTTCACCTTATCTTTCCTAGGGTCGTAGGTCATCCCTAGACTTTACCCTCTCATCCTCTTAAGGTCATAGATCGTCCGTAGATCTTACCTTCGCTTTATCTTTCTAGGGTCGTAGATCTCCCATAGATCTTACCTTCACTTTACCTCTCTTAAGGTTGTAAACCGTCTGTAGGTCTTACCTTAGCATTTTAGGGTCGTAGATCGTCCGTAGATCTTACCATCGCGTTGTGTTTTTTTTAAGGTCGTAGGTCGTTCGTAGACTTTACCTTCTCCTCTTTACCTCTTTTAAGGTCGTATATCGTCTGTAGATCTTACCATCGCGTCATCTTTTTTAGGGCCGTAGATCGTTCGTAGATCTTACCGTCGCGTCATCCTTTTAAGGTCGTAGATCGTCCGTAGATCTTACCTTCGCGTCATATTTTTTAGGGCCGTAGATCGTTCGTAGATCTTACCATCGCGTTATGTTTTTAGGGTCGTAGATCGTCCGTAGATCTTGCCGTTGCGCCATATTCTTAGGGTCTTAAGTCTTCCGCAGACTTTACCTTCGTATTATCCTTAAGTTTCTTACTTTCAGTCATCACGACACCGTCAACCATATCCTTTCAATCACCCTGCCACTCATTCCCTCAAAAACCTTGTACCGGCACCATTACCCAAGTACGAGCTACACTTTTTCGACCATGTTTTATCCATCATGACCAGTCCACCAGAAGACCAGTTTGTCTTTCCCCAACAGACATTCACACCAGCGAATAACACTCACACCATCTCTCCAGGGCAAATTTCGGGTCCTGGTATTTAATCATCTTCCACCTTGAACTTACGAAAGGCCGACGCCAATCTCACATTCAGGTTTAAGACGATTAAATAGGGGCAGCTGTCGTACCCCAAATTTGCCCTATCTCTTTTATTTTTGTCTGGCTTTGAACTTTGCAGTCCATTTGCATCATTTTATCATTCAATCATTTACGTATCCCGCGTCTCAGGGAATCAGGCGCTTTGGTTTGAAGTTTTAGGGTTGTGCCCTCTTTATGTCTAATCTTGTTTTGAGGTTTTCTTATCAGGTAAATAGGAAGCGCATCTGGTTCTCAATTAGTGGATTGTGGAACGAATTTTGTCATCACGTTGCAAGGTTGGTTCTCGCTCAAATTTATCAGAGCCTGGATTAGGGTTTATTTCCCTATGTGTGCTGGTCAAGATGCTAGGGTTCCGGGTCTTTGGTTTCTGGGAAGATGTTTCTCTCGCCTGCCTCGAAGATGGCTCAAAGCTCAGTGCATTAGGTCAAGAATTTCACCTCCTCGCATTTCAATATTCTTCTTAAAGCCTCTAAGCCGTTGAGTCAAGAGTTTGAAGTTTAAATTGGAAAATGTGGAGTTTGGGCACAAGAAATGAGGTTGAGGGTTCATGATGATCAATACATTGTTCTTGTTGCTTAAGTTACAAGTTATTGTGGGCTGAATATAAAAAGATGAAGTTCTGGTCAAGAAGTGCAAGTGTGGTTCAGGCATGATATGAAGATCAAGGTTCAAGCGATCGGTGTTTTGGGTTCGAATTAACCAGTGGAATTAAATTCTTAAGCATTTATTTTTTTTGGGAGTTTGGTTGGATTTTGAAAGATAAGGCGTGTGATTTGTTTGGAATACAAGTTATAACAATTGCTCACAATTTCTTGAAGTTTAAGTTACAAAGTCCAAAGGGTGCATTCAAATCATTCAAGTAGGAATTGCCATTTTTAATCAAAGATCGAGAGTTGTTTGATTTCCATACAAAAGAATTCTTTCAAAAATATATCATTCAAGCTTTCATGTTCATTACATTTTTTTGGACAGATTACAGAGCATGTGAAATCATAAATTACAATTATTGGAATACAAATTACATTTGTTTTGTGTACAAAGAAAAGAGAGAAATAATTTGTGTTTTTTCAAGTCTTCATCTTTAAGTCTTCATCTTCACTCCTTGCCATGGTATTTTCATCATTCAATCTCGCTTTGGACCGTCCAATAATCGTGCTCATGAAACAAGGAAAAAGAAAAGTTAGCGATCAAACACATGAAAAAAAATTCAAACAAGAATTAATTGATTGATATCTCATCATAAGGGTTTGCCTTTTGGAATCAGTTAAAGAGGGAGATATTTTTCATCATGTTTTATTTTCTCCCAAATTTCAAATCGCAAAGAGTTGTTCTCTTTGGATCACAAAAAGGAAAAAAAGAAAAAGATTGCAAATGTTTCCTGTTGCTAAAGCAAAAAACCAGCAGCGCTACTAAAAAAATAGCAAGGAAAAGTCCAGATCAACAAAAATATACAAACATCATAAATACACAAGACAGGGCAGCACAACATCCAAGCCAAATGCACAGAAGCAAGGCAGCAAGCAAAGGAAATGCAACAATAAGCACAAAGCAAACTGTCCCACAAGAAACAATCAGTAAATATTAAACAAAACAATAGTGCAAGCTCATTAGCCCATACATTCTAGTGCTTCATCATTTTCCAAAAGAGGCAAACCCTTCAGAACTATAAGAAAAAAAGCAGTAAGCTTTACATCACAGAAAGGTAAGAGAGGAAAGAAAAACCTTCATACTGCATAACCAAAATAGTCCAAGAAAACTGCCCACAAACACCAAAATAGACAATAACAAAAACCGCATTCTAAAGCCACAAGATAACATACCAACATTGTTCAAATCTAACCAATTTTGCCCCCACATTTTCACCTTGGTATCATAATAAGAAGAAGCCACTGTTTCATTAAGAAGAGGATCTTTTTACCCACGGCCTAAAACACAAAAAAGGGAATTTCTTTGCACAGCCAGCATAACAAATCAGAGGAGAGAACACTAAGAAAATTTGAGAGAAGAATAGAGATCAGAGGGTAGAAACACAAAGAGTTTTGTTCAGAAAGTCATTACTACTCACAATAGTCCTCACTGGTCAATGCTAGTAACATAACAACAAAAGAAGAAGAAGGTATTTGAACATACTTTCCCTTGAAGATCCATCGGAGAATCTCCGATAGGTAAAACGACTCTTCCACCCTTTTGCATAAATTATTGCCATGGTATAACTATTGTATTATTCACTTATATGCTTGTCTATGATTGTAACTCATAGTTGGATACATATGTTACTCACTGTAATAAAAGCGGAAAAGTGTGAGTCTAAAAAACTGTTTTTTGCTGTTACAAATGAACCAGAAGATTAGAACTCAACGTATAGATATTGTAACTAAGCTGTAAGAAAAATGAAGAAGAATACCTTGAACGTGACCAGGAGTCAACCGAACAAAACGACATGTTGTTGTTAAACCACTGTCCAGAGCTAAAGTAAGAATGAACTATAACAGAACAAAAGAGTAAAGTTGTAAGAAATTAGGGTTTGAGTAGAGAAATATTTGGAACAACGATTAGAGATGCAGCAAAGAAATTGAAGCTAAAGCTGGGAGCGGTGACGCTCATAATGCCACCGGAACTGAGACAAATGATTACCAGATCTCTCTTTGATATCGTCAAGGAGCATGGTCCAATCACCATTTCTAATACATGGGAACGCGTCCAGGAAGTTGGACTGAAAGATTTGACAAGCAAGAATCACATGAAAGTAGTTTTGAGATGGATGAGAGAGCGACAGAAGCTTCGTCTTGTTTGCAACCATGTAGGTGCTCATAAACAATTCCTCTATACTACTTGGTTTACCAAACCAGGTACTATTCAGGCTGCAATAGCAACTCCGACAACTACAACAGCACGAGAAGCTTTGCAAGCAAGGCTCGGAGTCAGGGAACAGATGAACCTAAAACTGAACGCGTTTCAAAAGAGATCAAAATGAAGTGGTAAGTTTGATATGATGGTGTTGATACGGTTGAGAGAGAGAGGATTTTACAACTTTTGTTTCAACTTTTTTAATTTCTCTTTTTGGATACGAATAGCTCTATTAATAATAATGAGAAACCTGACTTTTTCCTTCCCAATGCTAAGCAACAGCAGCGCCATTTGCTACTAGGGTTTCCAAGGGACCCTTTTGCATTTTTTCTCTCCAAACCCGGGTCCACTCCATTGGGCCGGTTGGCCCAATCGCTATCAACATCACCCTTCTTATTTTAATTAAAACATAATAGTAACAGTTAAGCAGTTTAGTTCATTTGGCAAGGCAGTTAGTAATAATCCAGCAGTGACGCGGTTCAAGTCCAGGTTGAGACGTTTTTTTTTAAATTTACTTCATGTAGCTTTATCTCTTCCATTTTCTAACTTGAATAATTATTATAAGAAAACATAAAAAACAAAAAAACATGCTTATAATTTAACCTTCATTAATCATTTGAAAAAAATATATATAATAGAATATTTTAGAAGTAGGTTAATTTATTTTTAAATTCGTTTTTAACTTGATAAAAAACACCAAAAGTATTAGATTAGGATTTTTAATTTTTCTTTTGATTATTTTTTTACTAAAAAATAATAAAAACATATTAGAGTAAAGTAGTATTAAAATTTTGATTTCCCCCTTTTTAAAATTTCTCGATTTCGCAATTCATAATGATTTAGAATTAGGTTTTAATTTTTGTTTTCACAAAAAATCATAAAAAATATTATAGCATTATTTTCTTTGATAAAAAATCATAAAAAACGTTAAGAACTTAATTCAGGTTACATGTTCGCTCAGGTGATTCCCCAAATCGATTAAATTCAGGTTGATTGTTTCATGTTGAATTAAATATTAGGGTCGAAACTATGTATGATAACTTTAGGATAGAATTTCCCTTTTACACTCAACTTCAAGTCCACCTTGTACATAACAAACAATTAGGCTTTTCTAGGCTCCCTCTTAACCTTTTCTGTTGCAATTAATTAAAACTTCTCATTCACAAATCAAAAATCCAAAAACACTTAATCATTACTTAAATTTATTTTAAAAGCCGCAAAACACTCAACAAATCAAAACTCCCCCAAAGGGCATGTTATCTCACTTCTACCGCGATACCGGCCGTGCCTATTGCTAGAATGCGTGCGTTAACGTCGCCCACTAAAAAACACAAACAAACCAACCATTTTCTAGAGGAACTACAGTGTTCTGATTCCTTCATTGGATACGTAGGAAAAGGGTCGCGAAACCCTCACGAACGCAATAATCAAAAACCATCCATTTCCCCTTAAGCAAGCCTAGTTGTAGATAAATACACCCTTTAAGACAAACAAACAAAACGGATCCCGTTGAGTACAACGGATGTGAGGGGTGCTAATACCTTCCCCTCGCATAACTGACTCCCTTACCCTGTCTCTCGGTCGCAAGACCATCTTATCCATTACCTTGTGGTTTTATCGATATTTCCCCTTCCTTCGGGATAAATATAGTTCGGTGGCGGCTCTGTGTTTTCTGCCGGTGGCTTCACTTACCACTTTGGATACCAGCTTCTACTCTCTCCCCAGTCAAAATCAATTCAGTAAACCCAGATGATGAACTGCCGATCAGATGATTGAAAAATGGACCAGATAGCGCCCCCAGAAACATGTCAACCAACTCCCTGTCAGACAAAGGGGGTTGGATTCTTCCAGCCAAGTCTCTCCACTTCTGAGCATAGTCCTTAAAGCCTTCGCTTGCACCCATAGACATACCCTGAAGCTGAGTACGAGTGGGAGCAAGGTCGGTGTTATATTGGTACTTCCTGTAGAAACCAGCAGCAAGGTCCTCCCAGTTTCAGCCATTAGCTCCTTCCAATTGATAAAACCATTCAAGCTGAGTCCCTGACAGACTATCTTGAAAGAAGTGCACCCACAAATTTCTATCAGCCGTGTGGGGTTGAATTTTCCTGACATACGAGCGAAGATGGACTTTTGGACAGGATATTCCATCGTACTTGGCAAAAACCGGAGCTTTGAACTTATGAGGGATCACCACTCCAGATACCAGTCCCAGTTCTTCGAAATCCAAACCAGGGATCTTCTGAATCTCCATAGCACTCAGACGGTCTTCTAACTGCTTGTACCTATCCTCGGCAGGAGGATATTGCTCCTCATCATAATATGTATCATCATCAGAGTTGGCAGGACTGGGGCCCTTTTCTTCTTCTTGGTTCTCCCCTTCCTTGGATAAAAAGGATAAATCAGCTTATTGTTTTAACCTATCCCCAAACCTTTTGCCCATACTCAGAAGAGCGACATTCTTCTTATTCCTCTTCTTCTCTTTCTCTTTCAGAATGAGAGCTTTCAAATCCTCTTTCCCTTTAGCCAAGCTCAAGAACATCTCTTGGAATTGGGCATTTTGTGCCTGAAGATCTTTGATAGCTTGATCAGAAGACATTCTTGCTGAAATAAACAGCGAAGAAGATAAGAGACCTGTAATGGTACATGTAATGGTGTGCATGATAATGGGATGCGTATGTAATGATTTCAAAGACTTTGGGAGATTTAAATTTGCAAACCAAAAATAAACAAACTTTATTAGATTAACTGGTAACAAGGTTCAACAATGCCTTTGAGGCGTTACAAAGAAATAAACGGAAAACAAATCTAGACTAGAAAAAGCAAAATCAGAAATCCCATGGACGCTTCCCCTTCGTGCTGACGTAGTCATTGATCGTTCTTTCATTCTCGAGTTGCCTGTTGAGCTTCAAGATCTTCCTTTCTTGCTCATGGTACTTCTCCCAGTAGGTATCCCTCTCCTCTTTCAGCTGAATCCAGGATCTCTTCAATGCCCCAAGATCAGTGGGCATGGAAGGATAAAGGACTGTATAAGGAATGCCCTCTTTATTAATGGGCTCCACAATCACTGGCAACACGGCTTCATAAGGCATCCTAAGCTTCTGAGCACGAGCTCGGACCCACTGGAGATAAGGCTGCATAGGGAGAGAAGTCCTTGGTCCTAGCTCTTGAGGGTCAGATCTGTTCACCATTCCCCAAGCTCGTATAAACCTTCGGCGATGCTCGTCAACGTTTTCCTTGTAGTCAAATGCAATATTCGTAAGAAGTAGCTCATGAGGACCATCTCTCTGAGCATGACCGAATTGTCGCAAAGCTAAACAAGGATTGTAGGTTATTCCCCCTCTGATTCCAAGAAACGGGACATTAGGGTATCCCCCACATCGGTCAATGACAGCAGTGCTTTCCATAGCCTTGGAACTCCAAAGAATGTCTGTATGGGCAAGGGACATTGTGATCGGTGGATCTGGAACTGACTGTTTAAAGCTGGATCGCGTATGTCGCGGTAAGCAAGAGTCGCCACCGTCTTTTATGTTCTCCAACATGGAAAGGACAAAAGCACAGCAAAATTCCTTTTTTGAGATGTCTCTCGGTTCGGGAGGTAAATTTATAGAAAGGGAAGGTGTTAGCACCCTTTCTATCCATGGTTATCCATGGGCTCTTAGATACTTTCTCATTTGTGTTTTCAAAATGTTTGTTTGCTTTTCAAAGTGTGAGTGGGTTTGAAAAAGTTTCGTTCAAAGTTTCAGATCGACTCTTGTATCAGTCCTCAAGAGTGTTTGAAAAATTGTTTTTTTGAAAGCTTTTTGAAAGTGTCGGTGTGAAAAGAGTTTTTTTGATTTTGTTTTGAATTAGAGCAAGTATCTACGAGTCATCTACCTACCCTAAGGAATTAGGCTGTGTAAATGTCCTTAAGGTAGTGCCATCCCACCATTGAGAGATAGGTAGCACCACCGTTGGAGGTGTTCGGGTCAATTCGAGTTTAGGGATAGTGTGGTCACCAGAGCAACAGTAGAACACCTTAGAAGCTACCCTTATGCCATGGGGCATGGACATAAGGACTTACTAAAACGTCCTATACTCGACGACCACGTTTCGAGGGCAAGGCAACAGTGAGGCGTACCCTAAGAGTGGTGTGTGAATTGGTGAGTTGTTTTCAGTTTAACAGTTATCTTTGATGTATCATAGTGATCTACGCATTGTTTTTAATTTTAGGCCATACATTCTTTCATGCAAAGTTTAACAGTTTTAAGAGTGCGGAAATTAAAGTCCTACGCTATTACAAGGCGCGGGTCTATACATCACCAAATTAACAAAGACCCGTTTTTAATAAAATGCGGAAAGTAAAAACCTAGTTACTATTACATGGCTTGAACAGTTACATAATATTTGAAAGAAAATAAATAAGAATACATGCGCGAAGAGAAATTAGAATCAAATGTTCGAGGGCGTTGGACCCTTTAAAGAAATTAAATGAAATTAAAAGCTAATTAATTATTTAATAAAAGGAAGGAAATGTTTTTTAGGTGTTTTTGTATTTAAGGAGAATAAAGAAAATTAATTAAAATTAGAAGTTAAATGAAACCCTAGTTCTAAATTATTTTTAATTGTTAAAGAAAACATTAAAGTTTATAACCTAATTTACACTAATTATTTTACATATTTATTTACAAAATAAGTTAGTAATTAATAATAATAAGAAGAAAAATTGTTTATTAAGAGAAAGGATGAAAATGCTAAAAAAAACCTAATTTCTACATATTTTAATTTATTTAAGAAAAAGCATTAAAATTGAAAACCTAAAATTAACTAAATTTATTATTTAAAGTTTATTTACAAAAATATTTAATAAGTAAATTAATTAATATATTTTAGTTTCTGATTTTTTATATTTATGAAAATTAATTGTTGGAATTTAAGGAAAACAATTAAAATAATTAAAAGAAAAGAAAAGAAAATTAAAAGAAGAATACAAACAATGGGGGTGTCTGACCCAATTTGGAGGTTTTTGTAGAGTAATTGGGCCCATGAAACAAGAAGCCTGTTTGACTTTCCAGCGCGTGTGCATGTGGTTGACTGAGGGTGTATCATGGAATTCACGTCATGGCCATTGGATTGATCCTTTGGGACACT